GTATTAGTATTTAGTGGAACAATATCAAACTTCAAAACTAGTATCTTTTGTTTGTCCCCTGCTTTTACTTCATGAGTAATACCATACTGAAAAGGCAAATAACAACAAACACAAACTAACTTTTAATCTTATAGGTGACGAATGTATCTAACAGTACATAAATAACTTTGTTGCTTCTTGCTCTTCTGTTTAAATTTTTGGACAATTGCCATGTATAGTTAAGCATGGATAGTGCTGCATCTTCATGACTGCATCCCCTCACCCTGACTCAAAAATCTCACCAGTCTTTGAACTATGATTTGTATTGTACAAGAAAAAAAAACTCCCTTGACAGACGGTAAACATTTTCCCCCCACACTGATTTACATTACTTTCCTTTTCTCTGCTGGCTATTTCAAATTCATCTCCCTTGCCCTGGGTAAATAGAGCAAAAGGGTGAAGAAGTTTACTTAGTCACACCAAGTTTAGGGCGCTGAAGAAAGTGTGCGATTGTGTAAAGCAGCCGGCGCTCTCATATGTCAGTGCAGCAGTAGAATAGACACACACACATACACACACATACACACACACTGCCCTGTTTGATCCAGCGCTAGCCCCGCAGCTCCCAGAGTCTCAACAAAAGGCCTCCTCTATCCATTGTACGGGCTGCGTGTTTCCCAGGAGAGGGTTAGCTGTAGCCAGAGAGAAGGGCCCCCGATCGCTTTCTCTCAACGTCCATGTTTATTCGCTCTATGGTCCGGCAGAAGATACAGCAGCCCTCCAAAAAGGATCCGACCTCACTAGTTATGATAGTTTTTTGGCATGAGGAAGAAAATGAGAGACAGACAAGTCAGACAGAAATAAGAATGTTTCAGGTTGTTCTCTGGCGTTGTATTTGCTCCTTGTCTTTACTCAAGTCAGCCTTGTCAACCTTGTTCATGAATGTAGATCCGCTTGGTGGGAGGGGGGAGATTTTAGGCCTGATCTTGACAAGCCCTCCCATCCCTGACTGCATACTAATTCTCAAAAACCACTGAAGCAATGCAAAATAAATACAAATTGTCAGGTTCTTTAGCAGATAGTGGCTGTCTTTTATAGCTGTGTGGATAATCAGATTGTCTGCTTAGAAGGGACATTGCTTGTAAGTTAGTGTGTGATATCTTAAGGACTCTGCCAGTCCGAGGCTAAAATCCCAATGTAATTTGTGTAAAAAGTCACAGCCATTTGCCAGTCAATTAAAACTGCTCGACATGATAGCTCCCTAGTGAAATGGATATAAAGTTTTGTAGCCTGGGGATATCTCTGAATCTATTCTACACCCAATGAAAGAATGTAGGATGTTGTTGTTCACGTACTGATCATTGTAGCTACTAAACTATTTTCATTCAAGGACTGTGCTATTTTATCCAACCATTATATTTCCTTCTGAACACCATTTTGTTAGCATATGATATTTGTATGTCCAATGAATAAATGAATGAATGAATAAATGAACTGAAGAGTGACGGTTCATACTATTGCTACAATTATTAGATGTAGCTTTGCTTGGTTTACACCTGCCTTTTGGTATACCTTTGTTCTTCTCTAAAAACTGGAAAGTTGTAATAATTTACACATTTACAGATTTAACAGTCAGTACTATAGGCTAAGAGTTGGTCATCTGTGGGCAGGGCTGCGGAAGGAGAGTTGAAAACAAACATTTGTAGACTGATCCATCTAATCTGTCAAACACATTATCGTCTAAGATATCGCTACACTCCCGTCTGTACTTAGCTGTACCTGAACTAGGCTCCCTCTCTGCTCTTTGAGGTAAAAGCTTGTGTGTCGTACAGCCCCTGAATGTAACTCTTTGTTATGGTGTAACTGGACTCTAGTGCATGATGTTTGATCCTGCTTTGGCCTGAAAGCCTTTTTTAAACCTGAACCTCCACATCAGCTGAGAGTCAGGCAACATCTACTTTGTAGAGTCTGTTTTTCCACTTTCTGTACACTATTGTGTACATCTGCAGAAATATCCAATATCATATCAGTGTATAGGGATAATTGTGCTATGAAATTTATACAGAAATTTATTCTAATGCTGATTTTGTTACAGATTTGTTCACTTGAAGTTCTAGTAACACTTTTGTCACACAGCAAACTCCAATTATTGATACAAAGTGTTCTTTCATTGTCCTTGACATATTGTGCACATCTACAATGTCTTCTGCTCATGTTGCACACAGTTGTATATGTTTTAACACATTATGAATGCATTCATTTTATTCTTTACAACCTGCATGCTTTATAAAGTTGTGAAATTGTATGCTGACTTGCACTTCTTTTACGTTTGTGCCAGATTTTGCTTTGTATTTTCAATCTGTGGTCTTTTTGGTGTATGTACTGCGGACATTTGTGCATAATGTGCATGCAAATAACCTGGTCCCATTATAGCAGCTGTCTTTGTGTCAGCTCCCCTCTAAGAGGTGTATGATGAGCGGGTGCAGGGGGGTCTAGTGTGCTGCATGTTTTCTTGCTTGATTTTTGCACACCCCCATCTGTGCCTCCATGCTCATTTCAGATGTGAGAAACTGTACCTTCATTTGCATAAGAATAATTGACACTTCAAATTAGTCCTCCAATCAAAGAGGATTATTTTTCCTCAGCATATGTGCGTCCAGCTAGCTCTGCCATCCCCAAGAATATGAAAGGGAAAGCAAATGCTAGCACAGGCACGTCATAAAGCATTAACCCTTTCATTTCGTCCTTTCTGTATTTGATGTGCCTGTTTTATTGCAAACATAACACAATCGGCAGTAAAATAGACTTTTGTGGGGAAATAATAAATGGCTTCACCACTAAATCAGGGAATTCTCTCACTTCCTGGTGGTGTCCCTCTGATGGGCCGTTTTACCTTTAAAAGCTCCCAGGTGCTGACTGTGTTAAATGCACACGTTTACACATCCTCGGTGTTGGGAGCGGGCCAGGAAAGCCAGTGCTATTTAGTGAAGTGTGTCGATTTAACATCTGCGCACATCTAACCATTAGTGCAGTGTTGAATTATTGATAGTGGCTAATGAAAAGGATCAGACCAGGATGAACCAAGCATAGTCCCAGGGCTATGGTACATATGCACTAACACGTAGCATCATTAGCTTCTGCTGTTTGACATCTATTTCATTCAGTACTGTGTGCACCAGATGCCTCTAAAGAACTACAAATATCGACTTGAAGATTCAGTTCAATTTGGGCAAGGATAAAATACAGAAACACAGTGGGGATTAAAACAAAGCTAAGACTGTTAAATCAAACCAGGTGGTAATGTGGATTTAGGCCGTTCACATTTACACAGAACCTGGAACTACTAGACCATAACTAAATTATGACTAAAACAGGACCAAACCAAGTGTACATCAAGTCTGAACTGGGATCAACAGGGTCAAACTAGGATAAGATGGAATGAAACTAAAACCAAAAAATAGAACCATAATTAGTCAATTGGTGAAGCATAACATCATCGCAAAGAACTGTATTAGCTGAAAGTTTATGTGTGCAAGATTATATATAGAAGAGTCATATATTTTCACTTTATAGCCATTACATCACTATAGGTTGCAAGTACTACTCAGTATCAGTACAATCTATTTAAAAATGGACCTAATTAGAACTTATAAATGCATTAAAACAAAAGTTTCCATTGCAGTAAGATCAGAGGCTATAGTTCGATCCATTCTGTTTTTTTCAGATTTGGTTCATCATATGTCAATAACAGTTAATTTAAGTTACATTGTGCATCTCTGTATCAGCTCTAGAAACCACCATTGTTGTCTGTATATTAGGAACCGATTTGGGTAAAGAGCGTGGGGTCCCGGGAATACCATCATATTGAGATGGCTGCTGTGGTGTGTGGTTAAGAGCAGTGATTTTTAGCTATAGAACTGGGTTAGGATAAGAATGAGAGCGACTCTTTTGGGGGGAAGGGACAGAGGACTGGTAGTGAGCGTTTTGGGGAGGAGGGAAGACTAAGGCGCCAGCCCCACTAAAGCTCTCAGCATCCCCCCACTTATGGGATGGCGGATGTGTCTGGGGGTATCCATGACAACACCGCTGCGTGCCAGGGACGTGCCTCGGCAACATGGCCAACCAGCAGCTAGAGTGGTGTTTGTGCACATCCAGAAGGGGCCACATATCTGTAATATAAATATTCACCAGCCTGTCTATTGTTAGAGAGGTATAACAATATTGGAAATAAAACCTTCCACACAACCCTACTTTGAAGCAGTCGAATCAAATGAAAAATGTAAAAATAGGAATTATTACTTACTTCTTTGAAAATAGAAAATACAGTTGAATTGTTTTTAAATTAAAAACTTTGAATTGAAGAAATTGGCAAGATATAGGCATAGACTCATCCATCAGTAGTATGGCAAAGTAGCCTTCCTCACTTCTTGGTTTGAGATTGTTGGCTATATTTGTCTGGACTATATATTAGTCTATAGTCTGGAAAACTGGAAGTAGCGGCTGTAGTTGGTTTCCATTGGAACAATCAGGAGTCCACTTTTACACTTTGACACGCTCACAGTGGCACAGTCACACTCATACCTACTGCACAGATCAAGCTGTGTTATAATAATCCCATCTGGGATTGGCCTGGATTCTCACTCAGGAAGTAGCCCTATAATGATGCACTGATGAGTGGAGAGTGTGTGTGGACGAGTGTGGCTGTTTGACAGAAAGAGAGAGAGGGGGGGACTAGAAGACGTTTCATGTGTCGCGGGTTTTATAGGTTACTGTTTTATATTTTAGAGCTCACAGCACACACATATCCGAGGGGAGTGTATTTTTAACCCTGACTGCCTGTGCTTTTGCTGAGGGGTTAAAGGGCCCAATGGTGAATCAAGTAAATAATTCACAGTAGCTGAAACTCTTTCAATGTACCTTCGAAATGAAAGGGGGAGGGCCACCTAAGTGTTTTATAATGGCACATGATGGTATACTTTGTGTTTGTGCTAATACTGGATTGTTTTTCTCTTGTTCTTTAGGTCGACTGCCGACCTCCTCAGTTCTGGACGACTGGAGTCTTTAAGCTAAAGGCAGTGAGGATCTCATCAGCTGATCTCAGAGGTGACTGCTTTAGTCTTTCTGCCCTCTTGTTATGGACCCTTTCCATGACTTTCCTACTATGGATCAGCAGTCTCGATGTGTCTTGTTCTCTTCCAATTCTATATGGAAGTGTCTGTAAGACATTTTGAGTGACGTTGCTTATGTCAAACATTTGATTGAAGGAGACACAGAGAGAAATGCTGTGCTAATGAAATGGTCTGACCCACATCCTTTAGAGCGATCCATTTCTCCAAAGACACAGAAAGGGCATTTATACAGGTAAACCATGACTGTTCCCTCAAGTGAAAGAGGGTTTTTAGAAGGAAGCGCTACATCCATTATTTACTATACTGGGGTTGCGAGACACTTAGGAGATAATGCAGTGCTTCAAGCATACAAAACATAGAGGCTCCAGTGTGCTGCCAAGGCCATTGTTGTGTGTTTTGAACATGTCTGTTTCCATCCATACTGACAGATGAAAAAATCTGTGTCTCCTCTGGGTTGAGAAGCCTGGGCAGAGACAGATGGAGAGACAGGCAGCATGGTGAAGGGCTGTGCGCTGTTTGAGCTGCCCTGTCAGTCAGGCCTTTGTGAAGTTTGCTATTCACGTCTGTGCAGATGTGTACATGTCTTCTTGTTGCCCCCAGCCTCTATTCTGTATCAAGCGCTACATTTCATGCCAGAGTCCAAAATGATATCATGTAAATGAGTGGTAGTGCAACACAGAGCAACCCATGTCTGTGTATTTGTACTTGCAGATGCATGTTTCTGCCCATTGCCTTCAGTAACTTTGACTCCTGATAGCACTGAATGGAGGAGTATAATTTTGAGCACATCAGCAGCTACATCAGTGGCGCCTCATACAGTGAATGGCTGTGACTGCGGTCTACTGGGAGTAGTTAGCAGGGATAGAGCCAGGCATAAAACTCCTCCACCCTCTTATCAGACTTATGGCAACACCAGGGATTTCTGTCTGCCTTTGTCAATCCCCCAGAGGTGTTCCGACATCAAGTCCTTTTGTGGATAAGGAAGGCCACTTCCAAGAACATCCAGTATTTTTCTGCATAACTGTGCATGATGATTGAGAGGAGAAGTGCTAGTTCACATGTACCAAGTCGCTCAAGTTGGAATTCTTGACAGATTCCATATTTTTTCCACATCAGTCTCCAAATAGCCTGGTTTCAAAACCAGTATCACAAAGATGAGCATATGGTTGAATATATAATAAAATACCATAATTATATTTTCTGTGTAGCATAATGACAAATGTATACATATAATTTCAGTTTGGTGAATTGTAGACTCAAATGCTGAATGTTTTAGTTTGTTGATTCTTCCCAAAGCTTCAGAAAGTGTGAGTGAAAGTGCTCCCCTGTGCGTGTAGTGCGGACATCAGCCTTATGTAGCCCTGTGGAAGTGCAGTGTCAGCAGTGCAGATGAGCAGGATGCACAAAGCCTTTGCACATGGAGCTGTGAGTGAGATCAGCTGCCTCAGACGACAGGCCCTGCTCTGCTCCTGTGCCCTTGAGGTACCGCTGCAGTACACTGTACACTGGCTTCATCTACTGAAGATGGGCTGCTGATGGCTTAAGAACCCCAGCCAACTCTTCTATACTGTAAGACATACATATAGAGAAGTACTGTACTGTTTTTTTGATTAGAGAAGTTTAAATAAGTCATGACATTTTAGATCCAATAATGCAGAAAACTACACGCAAATTATACTCAGCAAATTCTTGTATAAATTATTTGATTTATTAGTATCGTCACTAAATGTACATATCGTGTATTGACTACATTAGCAAGTTAATAATTATAATATTATTAGACAAAAAGTCAAAGTTAAATAATAAAAGGTTGGTTGTCAAAGAAAAAAATAATAATCTTAAGTGTATGTCACTGTAGGTGTTATTTTGGTGAGGTCCATGATATCATTCACCCTTTTTATTGTCAAAAGTAATCATTTAGATATTGATGTTCTCTATCAGATACCCAGCTGTTTCAACCTGTGTGTTCATATTACCGTGTTACACCTGTAGGTTTGTGCAGAAACATAATCCCATAATAGGCACAGAGGAAGGGAGTGTCTGCTATGGCAGTAATGGAGGACGAGCTGGTCGCACAGGCAGTCCAGGTATAGTCCAGGTATAGTCCAGGTTAGGCGTTCCCCAGACCCCTCCTCTCGTCTCCTCTGTGGGGCCGAAGAAATAAGCAGCTGTAACCCTGAGACACTCCCAGCCTTGTGTCCTCAGGTACAAAACATGCAGCGGCCATCTTATCAGGTTCTAAGGATACGGTGTAAGACAATACATGTGAGAAGTTCAGCAGGGACAATGGGAGGAAAGTGCACTGTGATATGAGGGGGCCGGTGTCAGCTCCTATTGTCGAGCCTTTTGTACACTCCAAGTACACTGGAAACTCACTCTTCACCAAACTCCATTCTTGCAAAGAGACATTTTTGGTGCCGTTTACATATTCGTGAAAATGGATTGCACAAACTGGGAACTTGTCTGTGTTTAGTGTGATAAAACAGCAATAGAAATATGTTTGAAATGCACAGATCTCAGCAATAATGTCTAAACTTTCACACTTTGATGCTTTGATACAAGAACTATTATTAAATTTTTATTTTTTTCTCTGTCTTTTCAGGACAAGAAGGACGAATCAGAATTGGGACAAAAGGCATTGGGACCAACGGCTGCAAATCCAAATTTCTGTATTTTATTTTTATTTTTAAAATAAATAAATAAATAAATTGTGTCACAGACAGGCCACATGACAAAGAGAGTTCTCCTGTAAGAATTATTATCTGAAGAAAACCGTGGGCCTTAGTGGGCAAATCAGAGCACACTACAAAGGAAAAAAAAAGGAACTAGATTGATTTGAGTTATATCGTTAAGGTTTCAAAATGTTTCACAAAGATAAAAATGCTATTAAGACAACCAGAAAACTGTCAGCAACTGTTTCATATGTTGTAACTGATTGTAACTGAATCTATGACATATTTCTGACAGCTAAATAAAGACATTGTTTTCTCTAAGTGATGCTTAAGAGTGAGTTTCTTGGGTTTGGTCTTTGCCAATGTGTTACAGCTAAAGAACTAGCAACTTGACATAATTGGGTCCTATTTGCCAATGAGAGGAGCATGCGGGCTGATAAAAGCTGGCACAGTGATCAAAGAGTTTCTGATCAAAATCTTGCACCTGACACACTTGTAGTTTACCCAGACTACGCACTTACGAAATCTGGAGAAACATCCTCCTCGTGTAATACAACCTCAATCCACTGATGATGCCAACAGGAATGTGTGCGCTCTGGCAGCTAAACAATTAGGACCATGCCTTGCCTCAGTGTTGTCAGATGAAAGCATGATTTGAAACTTTCTGCAAATTTTATCTTAATTTCTTTTACTTTACTGAAAACATAAAATCATAATATGACTTTTTAGCATAATCAGGCTGCTATTTGGCCAAAATAATGGACATTAACCTGAACACTTTATTTTTTTTAACAAAATGCCAAAATGAGCATGACAACAAAACAGAAAATATACATGGTGATTTTTGAATATAATAAAATCTTTAGTTTAAAGATGCACTATGTAACTCTTCAGGTGGAGGGCGCACTTGTCTCCATGGAAATGTAGCACCCATTTGTCTCCATAGAAAGTAGGGCATTAAACTTACCCATCTTGTATTTATTCAAGTCCAGATGTTTTTATCACTTAAAAAATAATGCATTGAAATCACTGTAAGCCTCGGCTCTCCACAGATCTAACCTGTGTCTTGGTTTGTTAATACCATATGGAAGAATCAGTTTGCGACCCACCACTAAAAAGGTTACACGGTGCATATTTAATAATCTAACTGTTGACAGTGTAAATGTGAAATCTTAATAATAAACAGGACTTCATCAGTCAGTAAATCCCAGTCTAAAACCCATTGCTAATTTATGTTTTATCAATCTCCCATTTCCATCCATCTCTCTCTGATCTTCCATTACTTCTTCATCATTTTGGCCATATTAATTTGATCCCTTCCTTGTTACCACCTTCTCATGCGCCTGTTCATTTCCTCTGCTTCTCTCCTCTTTCTTCATCCCCTACAACCATATTTCACTTTCGCCACACACTCTACCTCTTCTCCTCCTCCTTCCTCTCCAAGCCTCATGCCCTCTTTTCTCTTGTCTCTCTCTCCCCCTCACATGTCAGATCATAGTCGGGCCTTCCGCTTGCCTTGTCATCACATTTTTCACACAAGCTCAAACCCTTAATTGGGCCTGTATCATCACATCAACATCATGTAGACTCTCTGATCAAGGCCTTACATCAAACATGGCCGCCACCTTTACCCCATTCACAATTCAGATTTCCACATAGAAAAACAGTGAGCACATTGAAGGTAGCACTGGGACAGGGGAATCCGAATCTGTGTGGCTTTTTACACCTCCTGTTTGCAGCGAAATGTCGACTTGAGTTTGACAGCCAAGGTGATGTGTTTCCAGTGTCCAATGATGTTTGTATCTTGTGCTTTTCTTTGGTGATGACACAAAAGATGCCCTGGAGCCAGCCCATGTCATATCTGCAGGTAACTAGCAAATATCAAAAAGGCAATGAATAAAAAAAAGTGTCTCGGGAGTGCTAAAATAACTCACAATACTGCGTGTGTGTTGTCAGTGCAAAGGATGCAACACAAACAACATTCCCGGTGTGAGCTGTACAGTCAATCACAAGGTGGAAAAATACTTCAAAATAAAGGTGGTCATTGGAAATAAAGAAGCATAATCCAGTGTATTTCACATCCAACTTCATAATACATCCGATTTACAGAGGTTTATGGGAACTATGAGCTCAAAATTTAGATTAATATAAACAAAATAACGAAACAAAAATAAACCCAATATTTTTACTGTTGACACACATGGCCTCTAGTGCTGGCAATGGTATTTTGGTTGAGGTGCTAATCTTGTTTAGTTGCTCACCCTCAGGTCAATTACTGTTGATGCATATACATTATGAACTGTAAACAGTACTGTGTTAGCAAGTTAACACGTGATATGGGTAAATTCTAGTGGTCACTTAGACAAAGACTTGAACCGAGACTAAGCCTTGAAAGATACCCTACAGCATTTTCTCATGGTCTGCCAGTGTCAACTGTAGGCTTTATTCATTTTGTGAAGGGTATAATTTGCAATTTTACAGTACATCAACTGAAATGGCAGAGAAGAAAACCTACTAATATTCTCATTAGTGCCAGGGTACCAGTTCATTCTGGTAATCAAGTAATTGCATTTGTCGAGTAATTGAAAATCTGCTCATATTTGTCTGAAAATATTAATGTCAGTATAATCTCTTGAGAGACAAAATACAATAGTGGCTCTTGCAGGGTTATATGTGTGCACACAGTTAAAATATAAGAAAGAATCTGCCCCAGGAACATGACCTTGGAAGTAGCTTTGGGAAAGGCTGTGTATAGAACTTCTAAACTCCATTATGTGTTAGAAGTTTCCTCTCTTTGTCTCTCTCCTCCCTCCTCCAGCAGACGGCACAGTATTTCACTTTTATCTGCAGATAGCAGGACTTGGTGTTATCTTATTTTGTTTGGGAGAGTATTCTCAGGTACCATCCAGCCGGGATCCCAGCAGACGACAAGATACAGAACTCCACCACTCTTCACAGTGAGAAAAATGAGCTCTTACTGAAGCTACAGAGCTTAAGTGTTTGCATTTATGTACAGTATTCTGGTCTAAATAAAGCTAACAGTTGGTGGCAAGACAGTAGGAAGTAATTTGCATTATCAGTCCCTGAAAAGGTATCACAATAACAACACAAAAAATGAACAAAAAATGAACAATATTAAATATAAAATTTTTGATGCACTGGATTAACACCCTGGTATAGCAACCAAACCATACTGAGTATTCACGTTTTAAGAAAGAAGTGCTCATGGGCCTTTAAAATGTATATTGGGTAACCATAAAAAGCACATTTACCCAAACATTACATTAATAATAATACTATTTTGTCTGAAATTTGAATATTTTGTAAATTATATCAAATTAATGTATATTCATATGACTGGCTGTATTAGTCAGATTGAGAAAATAATAACATTATATCAAATTCAAAACACTGAAAATTTTTGAAAATATTTTTGGCTACAAAAAGCCATACAAGTGATTTCCAGAGAACACATGCTATCTTGTGTGCATTTGTGCTGTGAAAGAGTGCCCTCATACTGGCAGCTACATGAAATAATGTCACCATGTACTGTGACCTATAATTACACCAATATACAATTTTCTTGGATGTATGTGGCCTATGTAACATCTATGATTCTGCCATATGTCGGAGCATGCATGAGGTGCAGTATTTCCAATGCAGCAGTGAAGCAGAGTGATTGATTTCGAGGCATCTTGACAGTGTGGGGCTGTCCCAGGAGGCCGGGGTCCACCAGCTCTGGCTTCCACCTCTGGCCTTGCTCATTCCAACACCTATCCTCTTTTCAATCTCACTGTTCCCCTATGCTCCCTCCTCTTTGATAGCTTTATTGATATGTAACATTGATATTTAGGCGGTGGGTGGGGATTCTTCATGCCTGTCAATACGTGTCGGATGATTTGCCTTCTTTGCAGCTGATGAGGCCTTATAGCATTGGGGTACGTAGGTAAAAGGAAATTAAATTGAAATGTATTGGTTCTCAGCCACCGCTTACAATACGGATGTGTGCCTATTTAAACCATATAGACATTATATAGAAGTATAAAATAAAGTGCTTGTGTATCCAGATGAATCCACATGTGCTCCTTCACCTTCTATCAGCCTCATGACTGTTGAGGCAAATGGAAATATAGGTTTCAATCTCCACTTACGGAAGCTATCATGTCGACTAAATTAATTTAACCCACAAACTAAAATGGAAACCCAAGGTGCAAAGTAATGACTTACGCTTAGTTATCTGAGTAACTTGGGACATAGTTTTACTTCTATTTAGTCACACTATTTATATCATGTTTTCTTAACCCATATATACATTACCAAGGTATTTGTATGAAATGCTTAATAAAAAAATAATGTAAGTTAGTTGTCCATGTTTGGAAATACCACAACTTTTTTTTACTTGATTATATATTGTCATAAAAGTAGGTTCTTCTCATTCACATTCACACACTTTGTAACATTTATAAAGAATACTTTTTAAAAATAAAATAACTCTTAACACTCTTAACTTGTTAACACCGATGTTTGCTTTGATTTCGGCCATCCATCCTCTCCTGGATATGAACTCTTAGACTGAAAAAAACTAAAATAAACCTGATTTTGGGAGCAGCACCCAGGAGAGTGGAACATCATTGCAAACTTCACATTTGAATTTGTGGATTTGCCAGTGCAGTAGGTTGAGCCTTCCAGTTGTCACCACGACTAAGGGTAACAAAACAGAAGCCATGTTCGCCTGTGCTCCGCCATTAGAACTCTCATGTCACCCGCTCCTGGGGCACCGGCTTTGTTTTCCCATCATGCCCCTCTGCTGCCTGCTGCTTGGTTTAAACAAGCAGTATTCTTCTTCTTCAGCCTTTCAATTATAGCATGCCCTGCAGCAGCACCCGGCCCGACTCCACATTCGCAGAGGAGGCAGCAAAGACACGAGGAGGTATTGATTTGAATTTGATGTCTAATGGCTGTTGCTCTGCTATTGGTATTGTCACTAGTTTGAATCCTAAATTGTTTTAAAAGATCATATTTTTTACAGTCTAGAATGACACACCCAGAAAGGTCCAGCCAAGTGTACAAATTGACAGTAAAAATTTACTTCAAAAACATATTTCAAAAACAAACAAAAAGGTCTCTAACTCATAATCATTCTCATCAATATCTATAGCTCTACTTGTGATTACGTTATTTTATAATGTACTTTAGGTAATTGTAAAAACAAACA